AATCCCTCATGTTGGCACAGCATCATTCCTATGAATTAAGCAGGAGAGATATCAGTCCGATTTTAGCTGCTAAAGATAATATATAGGATTTAAATAGAACAATGGATAACTCAGGAAAAGTGAGGTAAATTTTAACTTTATCTCTTCCCTCACCACCATCTTTATTTTTCTCTCCAACCCTGTTCCCGTTTTCTGCCACGATGGAGAGAAAAATAAAGATGGTGGTTGGGGAAGAGATAAAGTTAATCTCACTTTGTCTGAAGTATCCATTGTTCTTTCTAAATCCTAGCAACCTTTCAAAGCTGAGGTCAAGTTCCATCTCTTCAAAAATTCTCCATAAGCATGACCGTTTTTACTGGTTATTATCAATATATTTCATCTGAATCTTAACAGTTTGTGATTTCATCCAAGTAGAAGTTCTGCTATGTGGGTGTCCTATATGCTAATGGCAAAGGATGATGGAGTGGAATGGGAAATTCCAGAGAAAAATAATACATGGTTGTTGCCTTCAATAAATTTACAGTCACATGGGATAGTCATAAGTTAACTAACCATAACAGATTTCAGAAACATTTCATGAAAGAGGTAACAAAGACATTTCTGTGGAAGCAGAAGTAAAGTCTGCATAGAACAGAAAGACTGGAAGTCAATTTTTTAATAAGTAGTTTGAGGAATGGGTAGGATTTTGGAGAAGAAACGATGAGAAAGATTTCCAGCGATGGATAAATAACATACAAGGGTCACAAAATATAAAAATGAATGATATATTGAAAGAAATAATAATAATTCTATCCCAGCTGGTGAATAGGATAGCATAGTGGAGAGGGTGGAATGGGAGGTATGAGTCAAGAAAGGTAGTAAAAGGGAAAAGAGACTATAAAGGTAGATGGGATTAGGTCATGAAAGATTTTTAATGCACTTCACGAGGAATCATTGAAAGATTCTGTAAAGAGATGCGATATCACCATACTTGTGTTTTAGAAAGGTCGGGCTGCTGGCGGGGTGTGGTGGCTCACACCTATAAACCCAACACATTAGGATGCCCAGGTGGGTGGATCGCTTGAGCTCAGGAGTTTGAGATCAGCCTGGGTAACATGGCGAAACTTCATCTATACAAAAAAATATAAAAATTAGTTGGGTGCGGTGGCACGCCTATGTGGTCCCAGCCATTCGGGAGGCTGAGGTGGGAGGATTGCTTGAGCCAGGGAGGCAGATGTTGCAGTGAGTTGAGATTGCACCACTACACTCCAGCCTGGGTGACAGAGAAAAACCTTGTCTCAAAAATAAATAATACTTTAAAAATGAATAAATAAAAACTAGAAAGGTCACGCTGGCAACCATGTGGAAGATGAATTGAAGAAATGGGACACAGGGAATCCAAATCGCTTTGGGAGTATATAGGAAGACCAACAGTTGAGGTTTGCCTGTGACTGAGGGTTTTTGGGACATAGTATTTTCAGTGCTAAACCTGTGACAGTCCAAAGCAAAGGGAATAGTTGGTCACCTTATTATATTAGAATTTAAAGTAAAAATCAGATATGGAATTGAGCAATTTTCAAGACTGCTTGAGGAGTCAAAGATGATTTCATTTATAAAACATGTTAAAAAAAGGTATCGCAGTTTTGCACTTTTCCAAAGCAACTTCGTATGCAGCAACTAACAGCATTCACTTCTGCTGATAATCTGAATAATCCAGCATATAAACAGAACCAAAGACAAGAACCACATGATTATCTCAATAGATGCAGAAAAGGCTTTTGACAAAATTCAACAGCCCTTCAT